ACCGGAGCCCAAGACACCCTCTTTGGACTTGATACCACTTCTCCTCCCCTTACACAGAAGGTCCAGAGGAGGGGAGCCGTGCCCCCCAGGAACTGTTTCTTACCTGCAAGGCCTCTGCAGGCAGAGGTCTGCATCCCCTGAGGTCATCGTGGCTGTGCTATGGCTCCACAGGGCCAGGTTTGCCAGGCCTCTGCCTCTGCTCTGCAGTTCCCAGACCCCCACATCATTTAATCCACAGAGTGCCACTGTAAATAAGTCCAACGCAAGCCAAAGCTGGTGCAAGTTCATGCTGCTAGAACGTGGCACAGGTGAGCTTCAAACTCCTCCCTCTGGGTCCAAGTCTATGTCCCTGTCCTTTGCAGTCGCAGGTCTGCTCTGGGCCATTGCTACCCTCCTTTCTACTGTCCCTCTGGAGGTGATATTATGCCCCTGCTGCTGGCCATTCCATCTCTTTGGGCTCTGCCACCACCTACCCTGGGAGTCCAACCCAGAGCAGATTCTAGCCCTGCCCATTTGTCTGTGGGCTCCTCTCCCCTGTGGAGTTAATCCTTTGGCCCAGAGCATGGCCCCCACATCCTTCCTCATAGACTCTGTGCCTGGAGTTCCAGAGACAGCTCTGCTAACACCTATATGCAGAGGTGGAGACTGAACAGACCATTGCAAGCGGCGGCCTGTGCTTGGGACCAACTGGGATGGGAGGCCTGGTCTGATGCTGGAGCTAAAGAAGACCTCCCTAGTGGGAGGGTATGTGGTAGAGAAAGTCTGTTCCAGGCAGAGAAGCAGCATGGGCAGAGGCCGAAAGCAGAAGATAACACAGATCTCAAAAGCTAAAGGCAGTCGGAATAGCTGAACATGGTGCCTCCTGACTATCATCCCAACACCCTGAAGCTGAGGCAGGAGGATTGTCTCGACTTTGAAGCTAGCCTGGGCTACAGAGGAGACCTTATCTTAAAATTAGAAAAATAATAATAATAGTAGTAGTAAATTGAAGTCAGCCAAAGTACATAGAGCTGTTTGGGATGAGAGAAACGATGTAGATACTGGTGGGAACAAGTGTATAGACTGAGGATTGGTGGTACACTGAAGCCTTCTAGGAGTGTGCTGTGGCCAGGGTTGTGACTCTAAAGAGTCTCTCTGGCTTTAAGAACAGCAAGTCCCCAAGATGGTGTCTTTATCTGAAGCTCGGCAGTGGGGATTGTGCATTGGGGACCAGTCCTATCATCAAACAAACACAGGGTGCAGACAAACCTCCTGCTGCGGAGTCCTTGCTCACCAAGACACTGAGCTGGCTCTCCAGCCACTAGGCTGGTTCAGAGGCTCATTTGCCAGCTAGCTGCAGGGGGTACCTGTCATCTGGTGCTTGGCCCCAGCTCCATCCCTCTCAGCTAGGTGTGAGCACCATGAAGTGAGCCTTCTCTTAGCTGTGACTCCCCCTCACTCCTACACTGATCAGCATCCAGGTCAAACTGTAAGGTGCTAGCTGCCCAGTGGAACTCTGTACACTCTCCATTTAGCATCCTCCAGCCAAGGACAGCTGTTAAGCCACCTGAATGTGGCTAGTCAACTGGGAAATGAACTTTTTAGTTGGCTCATTTTGTCCTTATACTTGTTCCAAGTTCTAGGAATTGAACCTGGTCCCTGTCTGTGCTGAGCACGGGCTCTACCATTGAGCTAAAACCCCAGCTATGGATTCACTTTGTACTTTTGAAACAAGGTCTCATGAGGTTTCCCAGAATGGCCTGAAACTTACTTTGTAGCCCAAGAAGACCTTGAACATGTGATCCTCCTGCCTCAGCCTCCTGAGTAGCTGGGATTACAGGCCTGAGCCACAATATTTGGCTTAGTTTCATTTCAACTAATTTAAGTAATTACCAGACTAGACACTCCATAAATGGGAAAGAAGGGGGAAGAGAGGGGAGGTGCATGGAGACAGAGGGAGGGACAAAGGGATGGAGGGACCAGGAGAGAAAGGAAAGCGAATTGATTAAATGACTCCTTTTTCTTTATTTGTGACTGACCCACAAGAATCGTACATTGTTTACGGGGTATAACGTATTTGGAAGCATTGTCAAATCAGGATACCCGTCATCCTCTTAACTACTCATCCATATTTTCGCCTCCCTTCACTCTGTTGTACATAAACACCAGAGCTTATGTCTCCTGTCTAACCATTACACTGCCCGCTTTGAACAAACTTCTGCCGGTCCCTTGTCACTCTAGTCCCTGGTAGTGACATTTTGCTGTCAACTTCTAACAGATCCACTCTTTAGATTCTGCTCATGAGTGCCTGTCCGTCCACCAGACAATGGCACAGACAAGGTGGAGTCTTCAAGCTTTCCAGCATGGCCTCCAAAGGGTGGAAGCTGAAGACAGTGAGAACAGCAAGGCACTTCGGTCCTCCAAGGCCTCAAAACTCAGAACTAGTCCAAACCCATCAGAAAGGGGCCAGCAATCAGCCATCCACCAGGAGAAACCGAGCCCAGACAAGGGAAAGGACGGCTCAGGAAAGCCACACAGGCCATAAGCCTCTGAGTGTTGAGTCTCTGGGCTCTGCCTCCACCATCTACCTCTCCTCAGGTAAGCTGAGGAGGCGCCTATGAAGCAAAGCGAGAGGTGAGGAGCCCACGGTTTCAGATGTGGGTGTCACACCTTCCGTCCATCTGACACACCTCCCCCCCTCCCCCCCGTCCCCCACCTCCATCTCTGTATTAGCGATGCATTTCCAGGACACTCTAATGAAGTATGTCTTGAGTCTCCTTTTCACAGCTAATGAGGAGACAACAAGAACTTGACTAATACCACCAACAATTACTGGAGCAGCGAAGCGAGGGCCTCTGATTAGATGTGATAATTTGCAAGGCTGGGCTCTTCGCATTAGGTTTGCAAACAGTTTAAAAATCACTTCCTCTATTTATCCAGCTAATCCCTGTTTAATGACTCCAGACCCAAGGAAAGAAAGGGGGAAATGTCTCTTTAAAAATTAATAAATAAAAAATTACGACACTAACAACCTCACACCTTATTTGCCAAGAAATGGGAAGCGGCATGAGTGTGAGAGACTGTCATCTCTTCAGAGAGAGTCCGCCAACAATGCACAGATCTGAAGGAACCTTCCTGTCCCCAACAATGGACATGGCGTCTGCTGCAGCCTCTCGCCTGTCTGCCTGTTTTCTCCCTGCCAGGACTTCTTGTCCAGCATGGAAAGACTAGCTCACTTCCTGCTGGTGTATTTGATGGCCTAATTCAGAAACAGCTGTAGGTGGCCACCTGTCTCCAAATGCTGCTGCGGAGATGGACATGGGTGGAAATTGGTGGTCACCGAGGGTTCTTTATAATCCCCCTATGCAAAGTATGGTCCCTGGACCAGCAATGACATCCCTAGGAGCTTGTCACAAAAACAGGACCCCCCCACTCCACCCAGTCCTGCTGATTCGGAGTCTGCCTTTCCCCAAGCACCCGAGACGCTGCCGCACATGAGCTGTCACTGCGCTGAGCAGCGTTGCCTTGTGACAGATCATTTTCCTGTCCCCAAGGGTAAACCCATAGACACACGGCTTTGTTGATTGCCATAGTGTCGATGTATCTGACCTGTGCTTGTCACAGGGATTCTGCAGAGCCTTGTAGAAGGGATTACACCAAAGAAGGGAACATGTGGGGAACTCTGTGTTAAACCAAGTTAGAAGCATTTGTTTATGGCAGGCTCTGTAGTAATATTAACAGGCATTTTGGAGTCCACAAGGAAAGGACTGTCAGAGATGTGCCCTAGGCTGGCTTGATGAGGGAACCATTACAGAGGGCCAGCAACTCAAAAAGCACCAGCTAAGAAAACGCTGATGCCTAACAAAGAGTGCCCCAAGACGAATGCAGCTCTGCAGTCCCAGCCTGCGGCGTTTCCTCTGGACCAACAGTCAGCCCATCCCAGACTCCCGAAATCCCTCCCACCACTTTACTCCAGCAGAACCGCCCACCCAAGCTCCAAATGCTCAACCAGTGTCAGTGAGCCCGGACAGGAAAGGATGGGGAAGGCAGAAGGCTGGGGACTATCCCTGGCTTTCTCAGGGGAAGTTCTGTGACAGGTGTTAGGACCGGACCATTCCTCTTCTGGGCTAACACAAGAACCAGGGCCTGTTTCAGTGAGGCTTGTGTGGGTTGGCCTAGGAACAGGTCTCCACAACAGCCTGGAGCCATGTGAGTCTGTTGCACAGATGAGAATATGAGCCACCGGCATGGCTGGATTCGAACCCAGGAAGAACAATCGAGCCCTGCTCTGCCCCTCGAGGGGTGTAGGAGGGGCATGATTACAATCAAGTTCTAGTTAACGTACACAAGCACCCCATACTCAACTATATGATCCTGTTCTCCGAAATAAATTCAGATCTACACACGTATATAAGTGAACATGTCCACGACCACAATTGGCCAGATTTGATTTGCCTGAAAAAATGTAGTGTCCAGAACTGTAAACTGCACCCTGTGGCCTCCAGGAGGCAGTTCATGTCACCCTTTCAGTGACCCTGGGAGTAAACACCAGAGTCTCGTCTCCACTTTACAGGAGAGAAAATTGAGCCCACAGAGAGAAAGAGAGTTCCAAGATCTCCTGCTCATCAGAGGTGGCCCAGAGTAGGTGGTGTGTGGGTCTCACCGTTCCCTGGAGCCACCACCTCAGGTCATTCCTCAACTTTTTTCCCCAGGAGAATTGATAGCCCAACATGGCATGTGGAATTCTAGACATGTAACTCTGGAGGAACAAGGACGATATGCCACCAAGATCATGGAGCAAAAGCTTCAGCTAACACACACACACGCACGCACGCACGCACGCACGCACGCACGCACGCACAAGGCTGACAATAGCCATTGAACACCAAGGGAAGGGACCGGCGAGTAAGCAAAGCTGGGAGAAGAAGTAAAGGAGACAGAGAGAAGCCTTGTCTAGGGCAAAGCACAAAGTGATCCTGTGAGAAAACACCGGGGAAGGAGGGTGCTGAGTGGGAACCCACCTTGGCATCGCTCATGCCCTGAGTCATTGCTCGCTCTCTCTCGGCTGCCTCAACATACCCATCTGTAAAATTCATCTCTTCGAAGGTTCGATGGTGCTCTTCTAGGAGTATGGCTGGCTCTGGAGGCTTGAACCCCTCTTCCGGGAGTGCAGGAAAAGAGGGAATCCCTCACACACACCGGAGAAGTGGGAAGCTGATGCTGACCTTCAGGAAGCCACTACGCTAGGTGGCAACTGGGAGATCTTCACACACTCGTTGGCCCTCCCAAGTGGAGAGGCTCAATTTGGCTCCGGAAAATAGAGGACTCCATGGCTTCAAAGTTCCCAGCACGTCCACAGGTGAAGAGGCTAGAGCTAAAACACTGTCCACCCAGGTTCAAGTCCTGGACTTTGTCGCTTACAGGTTTCCCTCTGGTGCTCTTCCTGGAATCTCAGTTCCTCGGGGTCTTCTCCTGTCCATGTGGCTACACAAGAAGGTAGGATGAACAAGTCAGCACATGGGAGGGACCAGCTCCTAAGAGGCAAACTACACAAAAGGAGGAGCCTTGCACTTCAGCAGGCTTTCCCCCAAAGCAAATAGAGATAGCTCTGGCTGGGGGACCCACACAGGGTTTGAAGATGGTGGGCGGCACATCCCCACCCCTACTGGAGTCCTGTGCAGACAGCCATGTGGCCGGCCCCATGGAGAACAAAGCTCAAAGCATTCACACATAGCATGATTCCTCTGGGGTAGGAAAGGCAGAAACATGGCCACTTCTGTCTGCAGACAGAACACTAGACCACAAGCAACAAAAAATGGCTGGAGAGAGTTTACTCCAGGGGCCCAGGAGCCCGGTGGGGCAGTGGGGCTGGAAACAACTGTACCTTTTCATTTAGTAATTGCTTTTGAGTCATATTCAAAAATATTCAAAGATGAAACAACCAAAGCAAGGCTCAAGCTGCCCTGCAGTTGGGAGCCCTTTGGGGAACTGATGTGAGCAAGCCAGCCCCTCTAATCCAGATGGACAGGCAGACAGACAGATAAACAGCTTAGAGGCCAAGGTCCCCTGAGGGTCTGAGGAATGGGCTGTCCCAGAGCTGCCCTGCTCCCACCCCAGCCCAGCAGGCAGTGACTGCCCTCTCACCCAGACCCCTGCTGGCAAGCACAGTCCACTCCCTGATCTTCCCGGAATGGATGCTCTCCCCAGGCTCATTGCAAAACATCCTGGCTGGAGCTGCAGCTGGGAATCCAGAAGCAAAGCTCCTCTCTGTAGAGAGGTACAGTTTCCTGAGGACATTCCAGCCTGGTCTGAAGGCCTGCAGCAGGAGAGGGCAGGAAAGGCCAGGCAGTCATTTGCCGCCAAATGGGGGGCACTGCAGGGTCATGTGCTCACTAGAGCTACCTCTGGCCGGAGCCATAGGTTTAGGCATATGCTGTCAGGAGCCTCTCCAGACACCCCTCCACACTGTCTTCTGGGGCTCCCCTACACCAGACTTGTAAGCAATCCCCAGCTTCAGTCTACCTCCCCAAGTTTAACGGATACAGCATGTTACCATTGCAGAGCACCAGGTTGATTTCAGGTGAGTCTGCTACCACACCGCAATGGCTCATCTAGGCAGGTCTCTTATCCCCACAAGACCTCAGTTCCTTCATCTGTGTTAAAAGAGATTTTCGAGCACAGAGCCCTTTTTCCAAATGTCACCGAGAACCTACCGAGAACCAGGCAAGGGACAAAAACACAAGTGGAGTGTGCTGGGGAAGGTGAACGGTGAGCAGAAGCCTAGCTTTGGACCTGCCCCAGCCCCTGGGAACAGCCTGGGAAACTCGGAGCCTTGGATTTCCTCAGAATCCCTGCTTTCTGCCTCCTTCTGAATGCCAGGGAGTCTCAAAGACCCTGAATCCAGTTCTGCTGCTCTGTCTCCTCTCCTAGAAATCTCATGCCCAAGACACGTGGATTCTCTACCGCACTCATCTTTATCCAGTTGAGTTCAACACTCCAATACTCACTATCCATGGGTCAGCGCCCAGGTATGGTACCAGCTGTAGAAACATCCAAAGCAGAACCTCTGGTCATTCCTATACCTCACACCTCTCCTAATACAAATTGGCCCTGTCATCAAATACCACTAAATCAGCCCTTCTGCATCGTATAGATGCCATTCTGGCTAGCACTCACTGCTACGATCATCATTATCACAACCATCACCATCAATATCACCACCATCGGCAGCCAGCACCACCATCACTACTACCATCACCATAGTCACCATCATCAGCACCAATTAAAAAAAATCACTATCAGCCGGGCAGTGGTGGCGCACGCCTTTAATCCCAGCACTCGGGAGGCAGAGCCAGGCGGATCTCTGTGAGTTCGAGGCCAGCCTGGGCTACCAAGTGAGCTCCAGGAAAGGCGCAAAGCTACGCAGAGAAACCCTGTCTCGAAAAACCAAAAAAAAAAAAAAAAAAAAATCACTATCATCACTGTTACCACAAAGACCATAAACATCACCAACAACAACACAAACATTACTACCTTGACCCATTATCATTATCGCCACAAAAACCACTACCATCACTATAATCATCATCAACACCATCGTTATCATCACCGCAAACACCACCATCAACATTACAAACACCACCACCATCCTTGTCATCATTACCATCATGGTCATCATCTCCACCATCATCACCACCACCACCACTACCTCAACCACCACCATTACCGTCATTACCATCCTCATCACCACCATCACACAATCAACCAACTTATCAATATTACCACCATCATTATCATCATCCATCTTACCATTATTCTTTCCCCTTCCAGAGTCTCTCACCATCTCTGTGTGCCCTTGCTGATCAATCTCTACCTGGCATAGACATTCTGAAATCATAGCTGTTATCACGATCATTGTTGCTTCACACCCACCTCAGAACGAAGTTCAAATGCCTTCTGTAGGTTTGACAATTTACAAATCTAGCCTTGTGTCTCAGGGCCACAACGCAAGCCCCAGCCTCCAGGGAGAAGGCACCAACTTCCAGTAACGCCCCCCCATAGAGTCCCTGAGCCTTTCTGTAATTCCTCCATCTAAGTGTCTAGCTACATCCACGGATCCTGATGGTCCACTGGCCACAGTGACCCCTGCAGTCGATAATGAGCCTCCTTGATTCCAGTCTTGCCACCCACCTTTCTATCTGGTACTGACCTGGCATAGAGCAGGAGCCTAAGGAGAATGTGGGAAGATTTGGGGGAAGGGAGTTAGCAACAATGGAGGCAGGCAGAGGAGCTGAGAAAGTGTCTCCTCCTTCAGTCTGGCAAGAAGAGCCCAACACTTGTCCTCATCAACCAGCCCCCAATACCGAACTTCAGAGGGTAGATGTCCATACCTGAAGAGAGGGGGTGCTTCCGTCTCCTTGGCTCCTCCTTACGCCCTGCTCTGAGCTGTCCTTCCATGGGAGAAGATGCTGCAAGAAATCTCCATCAGGGAATGCAAGCTGTGGTGCTGGTCTGACAGCCTGAGAGTCCTCCTTTGCTGCCACGGCCACACTCGGTGCAGATGGGGAGCCCATCCATGCCTCCGCAGCGTCCTCTGAAGCACTAAACTCTGGAGCACCAAGTGTCCGGGCCTGCTCAGCTACTCAGCGCTTTTCCCAGAAGGAAATCTGAATAGAGATCAAGCAATTTCTGCTCAGGAAAGGCACCCCTTCTCATCCTAACTGACTCACAAAGGACGCCTTTGTCCCCAACATTCACAAGTCACAGACCAACATTTCTGTCTTGGCTATAGAAGGAAGACATTGCCTTCTGCCATGACCTGGAGGCATGGGGGCCGATGTGACCCTACCCTCTGTTAAGGAATGTAGGACTGGATCTCCTTCTTTCCCGGAACCCTTAGGAAAGCAGAACTTCACCTCCCAGCTAGAGGTGCTGCTGGTGCACCATCCGGAGTGCAGGGCAAGCCTGTCCCAGGAAACTGTCACCTCCACGATGGGAGGGGGCTTACACTGGAAGGAAAGGCTTTGCCACTTTTACCCAGACCACTCTCTAGCCTTGGCACAGTCATGCATTGTGATGGAGCTCTTTGTTAGGGTAACCTCTACTTTAAAAATAAAGGCAACCTCTGCCTAGAACTTCAGGACCCACAAAACAGTGATTTCATTGTCCTGGGGTCTAGAGTCCAGTTCCTTACATGGCACTGGTCCTCAGGGGTCATCAAAGGTGACAACATCCAGACAGAACAGCCCTGAATAGCTCCCACCAGTACCCCAGAAGCCTGACTCTAGGGAATGGGGGGGCACTCAATCGGGTGTTGCCACAGCAACAACAACAGGCTGAGAGACTGGGGTAGCTGGGCCCCTTAGCCAGGGCAGAGCCACCCAGAGGGATGGCAGACCAAAGGCTCCTGCTGGCCCCACTCCTCCATGGGCCAATCTCAGTGCTGATCCTGTCCTACCCTGCCCCGTTCTCACACACACACACACACACACACACACACACACACACACACACACACACACACACACACAATCTCACTCCCATCTTCCTCACCTCACCTCTGCTCCTGTCCTCTCCACTTTTCCTCCCTTCTCACTGCCTCTACTTCTATTCGCCCTGCACCTCTTTCTGGCCCTGTCTCTGCTCTGCGTCACAGGGGCCCTCTTTGTCCTTATCAGTCTTCTGTGTGGGGTTCCCAGCCTATCCCTGTCTCAGTCCTTCCCACTCTTCTCTCCCTACATAGCTGTCTTCTTTCACCCTCCCTCCCTCCTTCCCCCCTCTCCCCCTCCCCCACCTCATCTTTCTCCCTCTTTCTTTCTCCACGCAGCCAAGGGCTCACTTTCAGCCACTTTTGACAGTGATGCTGTGAATAAGTCAGAGGAGAAAAGGGCAGGGAGTGTGAAGTTATGACTTCATCCCTGTCTGTGCACAGGGCAGAAAGGCAGAGGCTGGATGGGATGCTTAAGACACCCTGTCTAGGTCACTCAGCTACTGGGCCACCTTCCCCAGGAGTCTGATCAGGGCTTCCACCTGCCATGTGCTCCTTCCTCAGCTGGTGCCCAGGCTGCTTTACAACCTCCTGACTCCCCTGCAATGAACAGCCCCAGCCAGAAGCTTCTCTGGGTTCCTTGAACCCATATTTTCCAAATTTGTCGATCTCACCCCAAAGGGACAGCACTGCAGGCCTTGGATGTACCCACAAGGCAAGACCCACATCTTTGGGAAGTCATGTCTGGCCCTGTTAATTGTCGTGGGGCAGCAGGTCCCTGTGAGGACAAAAGCCCTTCGGCTGTGCTGAGCTGCCTACCCCTCCACCCAGAGCCTCCTACTTCAGAGTGCCCCAGATCCTTTGTCCAGGTCCTGGAACACAGCCAGCTGCAGAATGCCCTGGAAGGATCTACACTCCAAGGTCACTGGGGAGACAAGGTTGCTGAGCCTGAGCCACTCCATGCTGGGGGCTCTTGGGAGGAGTGTTCCACAGGAACCTCTATTGCCCCTACACTGCCACCTGAGCTCATCACCTCCAACCCATTCTCCCTCCTGGGTACTCTTCAAATAAGAATGCAGCCCATGAATAAATACCCCTGCCAGCAACCCTGTGGTATCAGCCAAGCCTCCAAGGCCCCGATCCAGGCTTTCAGTCAAGTTCTAGGAGAGCTATCTTTCTCCAGCTCCACCTAATTCATCTCCCACTCTGGCCTACCAGCTTGCCTCGCACACTGCTCATGACTTCATCTACCCTGCCCATCTATCCCGCATGAGAAGTAGACAGAGGCACAGCTCAGATTCCCCAGTCAGGTAGACCCGGCCTGCAATCCTGGCTTATGAATGTGTGATTTTGGACAAATAACTTCCTTCCTGAGCATATTGGCATGGGTCAGTATTCCCCTTGACTGCTCTCATGCCAGCCGAGAGACCTTCAGTAATCTAACTTCTTCCTTAAATGGGGTCTCTGAAGTTGAGCGGCTCAGCTGACTAAAGAAGGTAGCCGTCCTTGCTAATACATTATTTGCTGTTCTTATTAACCAAAATAGAAAAGGAAAAAGCTCCCAAACTAGAAAGCTGAGAGCATCCACATGACACCATGAGAAACAACAAAACATGGAGGGAGAGAAAAAGAGGGTACGTGTCCAAACTAGACTCCCAGATACTTCTCTGTACCACTCTTGTTCTAAGGCCTGGAGCCTGCAGACCCCCATGGAAATGTTCCAAAACAAAGGAAATTCAAGCAGAGATCCTTGGGACCAGCCAGGCACGGTGGTGTTGGTAAACACCTTGTAGTCTCAGCTACTCGGGAAACTGAGACAGGAGAATCATTTGAGTCCAGGAGTTCTGGGCTAAAGGACCGTTGGGTGTTCACACTAAGTTCAGCAACAATACGGTGAACTCCTGGGATGGGGACCACATGTTGTCTAAGGAGGGGTGAACGGGCCCGGATTGAAGTCCTTGGGATCAGAAGTGCTTCTGATGTGGGACTGTTTGTATATGCATGTTGAAATGCCTTGGGGGATGTCACCCAAACACAAACACAAAATTCACTTGTCTTCCCTATAAATTTCAGAGCCTGAAGGTAAGTGTCCATAGCACGTTTGTATAATGACGTGTCAGGGCCAGGCAGGACCAGGAAAATTCCGGCTACAATTGCGTTCTGACTGTGACCTGATAAGAGAGATCCAGTGGGTTTTCTTCTTGAAGTACCATGCAGCCTTCAGAAAGCTTTGGATTTAAGAACATCTCAAATTTGGAGTTTCCAAAGCAGGAGTAGTCAATCCATCCTGTCTTAATAAACAGCTAGTGAGCTCCCTGTCTCTGGTTGTTTGCAAGAATATCTCTGCAAAACTTGGCAGAAGTGTTGCCCAAAGATTCTTTCGATTACTTCCTTTCCATTACTGGTAAGTTTATTCGTTAACAAAGAGCTAAATGTCCCTTTTGTTTGTGTTTTATTGGGAAGGGTGTAGACCGGGGTTTCACTGGGTAGCTCAGACTAAATTCAAACGTATAGTGCTCTTTCCCCCATTTCTGGGATTACAGGTCTGTGCTACCTACCACACCTGGCTACATGACTTCAGTTTATTCGCCCCACCCCCTCCACCCACCCAGCCACTGTCCTCTCTTGACTGGATGATGGCAGTGGCTCCAAGGCACTCTCATGCATCCAGCCCTGCCTCCTCTCCCTCTTTCCTTCCAGAAGCAGGACTGAGCCCAGGGTAGACCAGACTCTGTAATGTGTCTTCCGATGTCTTCACCACCCACACCTGCCCTGGGTGTGAGGCCAGCTAGAAGAACCAACTAGGCATGCAGTTCCTCTTCACCTTCTCCTCCTCCCCTCCTTCCGCCCACCTCTCTCCCTTCTCCTTCCTTCTCTCCTCTGGCTTGCAGACCTCTCTCCTCATAGGCACACTCTCCATTTCCCCTGCCTCCCATGCATGCCTCACTAACTCCCACCTGTCAGTCCATCGTGCTCAAGCTTCGACCTCACCACCAACCACCACTGCCGGTGACACCCTCTCCCCATCCTGGGGGAGGCTGCATCTTCCTCCTCACAGCCCGAAACCCTTTAGGTGGGACACAGCTCATGCTCTCCTCCCAGGAACAGGATCTAGAGGTCGGAGAAGGTGCTAGGATCTTCACGTGGGCCCCGCCCATGCCACACTCCATTCTGTCTGGGAAAGTCCTGTTAAAGGCAGGGCAGACGAGCCAGGAAAGCTCTGTAAGGCCCAATACAAGCTGGGTGGAGGCCGCTTGGCCTCCCTTGAAGTTCAGTGAACAGCAAGAGGGTGAGAGAGAGATTTTTGTACACAAGGCCAGGACCTCCCAAATAAAATCGGCACTGCCCCTTGACCCTAGGGACACCATTTCACCACATGCCAGGACCAAGCCAAGGAGTGACAGGAACAGGGACCAGCAGAGCGTTCCTGCTTTCTGGGCATTTCCTCCTGGCTGGAGTAACAGGCATATGTGTCTCCACTGTCCCCAAACCCCAAAGCCTCTGTGCCTCATTTGGAATTCATCCCAGCCAGGACTGCCTTAAGCACCAGGCCTGGCTAACATTAGCTCACAATTTCCAGGGCCTGGCATAGCTTCTTCACCGGTTCTCAGGAATCAGGGACACAAAAGGTGTACGCCCCCCCACACACACACACTCTTCTTGAATCCATCAGGGGCAACCATGTAGGGGTAGCAGGCATGGCTAGGTGAAATAGTCAGAGCCCCAGGCCACAGCTGACCATCTGGTCCCCTGCCCTGGACATTGAAGCAGGAACAATCAAATGAAGACCAGAAGAATCACTCAGCCCTGCCTCAGACCCAGTGTACCCCTCTGTGCCTGCTGCTAATTACTGCCTCCAGGCACCAGAACTGGGCTAGTGCCTCTAACACCCACAGATCATGGAGCCTGGTCAGGCACGGCTGGTATTATTGCTGTTTGGTTGATATCAAAGGAAAAGACTGAGACTCAGAGAGACACACACGAGCCCAAAGCTACATGCACAGGGACTGACTTCACATGCTGCACTTGGACTATACAGACTCTAGAACATTCCTTGAAGACAACAGCCAGATTTAAAGGTCCACCCAGCACTGGATCATTCAGACTGGACAGTGTGCTTTTGTAATACCACAGGAAATGGTTTTTCTCCACACTCCCACTGTGAAATTGTCCCCCCTCACAGTTTGGAGAACTGAGAAGGGAATATTTTAGACCTGCGTGGTGGAAGAAGAGGTTGAGAGCCCAGCAGACGACCTGGCATCTTTCCCAGGCCCTCATGTCGTAAGCCTGAAGGATTGTGGGAATTTAGAGGGAGAACAGATAAAGAGGCAGCGGTCTGCTCCAGATTCCTAACAGAATCATCTAACACCAGCTCACAGCCCTGGCCTTGCCCGGTCACTCCATCGAGCTTCCAAGTGTCTGTCTGTGAAACGGAATGACAAACCCAACCTGGTGGTGGAAAACAAGTTATCAAAGGAGCAAGACTTCTTTGAAGGGCAGGAGGAAGCATGAAAGGTCTTGGCCCAGGGCCTGGCACACAGTAGGCCCGTAAACACAGAGCTTTGAACAGAGTGGGAAGCTCCAAGCCGGGTGGCCCTCTGAGACAGGGGTCCGGAGGAAAAAGCGTGAGGCCGGGAGGAAAGGGAACAGCCCTTGAGAGACAAAAGCCAGCTTGACTGAGAGCCCTCAGGTTGCCTGGTGGCAGAAAGTCACCTCTGAAGAGAAGCTTCTGAGGAGAGGCATTCCCGCGATTTCACCTTGTGGCAGCTGAGGGAAGCACCTACTCCATTATCCTCCCTCAACTCTTGGTTCACAAAGAAAATGCAATTTCTCTGCATTATAAGTCGGAAGAGGTGGGGGAGGGGGGGAGTGTTTAGGGTGGGGTGAGGGGCCCCCGGCAGGGAGGAAGGACTTGGGATAGAAGCCTGAGTCACAATTCCCAAGAAGCGTTTCACAAAGCCACTGAGAGCAAGTGGTTTTTCTGTAGCGGTAGACGGAGGCGCACAGGACAGGCTGTCCAGAGCTGACAGCGACAGTCACCAGCATTACATGACATATTGTCATGCTTCCCTCCCCGTGAGAATGAGAAGAATGCACAGATTTCTTGGTGACATAATGACAGAAGTGAGTCTTGGGTGGGGTCTCCCCTTCCAGTCTGAAGAACTCTGCCAAGGAGTGGGTGAAGCAAGTCCGTGAGAGAAGAGACTCCTGGAAGACGTTTCCCAAGGCCAGGCACTTCCTGAAGCCAGGCATGGCAGGACCAACAGGACCAGGCACCCTGTACCCCCCCCCACCCCGCCCCGAGTAGCTGTAGTCAGAGTAACCCTCAGATTTGCTGCGTTGTTAGACGGTGTTGAACAACAGAGAAAGAGAATGGGAGCCGGCTCACTGATTCAAACGCTGCCAGTACTCCAACCCAGGCAGAGGTGAGTGTGGAACCTAACCCTCCCAGCTACTGCTTCCACATCCAACCAAGGAAAGGCAGAAGGGAGCCTAGGACCTCACAAATGATAGGCAAGGGCTCTGCCACTGAGCTACATGCCGGCCCTCATTTTATGATTGGATTATTGTGCCAGAGCCTCATGAAGTTGTCCAAGTTGGCCTTGAACTCACTATGTAGCTCAGACACGCTTGAATCCGCAATCCTTCTACCTTAGCTTCCCATGTAGCTGTGGTTACAGGCCCACAAGGCCCAGGTGAAAGAGGGGTGCCCTTTGACTCTTTAAAGGACTGGATAACTTTACAGGAACACACCCCATGCCAGCCTCCGGTGTTCTCTGTCTGTCTTGGGGAGAGCAACAGATCTTGCAGCAAGATGCCTTGGAGAGACTAAAGCATTCCACCAAGTGCTGGGACAAGCTGGAATATCTGGGCCTGGCACCCTTTCTCCTCATAAGTCCATAGATGCCAGGATGTTACCTCCAAGAAGCATCAACACAGATCTCCTCTCTGTGAGCCTGCGTGTGTATCAGCTCCTCTCCGGAGCCATCTCCTCCCCACTCTATAAAATCATGTGTATTTTTTGTTGATTTTCATGTCATCTCTGCTCCAACCACATGGTAGATCAGAATACTTATCACTGTTCCCTCCTGAACCTCTTCGAACCGGGACAGCAGCACCTCCTTCTCAGGGCAGCTGTGCCTACAGGGTGAGCTAGATTCACCGGGTCGGGGGTGGGTGCGTGGTACTAGCAGCTTGTATCATTCCTTCCAAATGCTCTTAGACATGTCCTCAAAGATCCCAGAGGAGCAAGTCACATAAGGTGGAGCTACTTAAGAAAACAAGGCATCTTCCTCAAGCCACCAGACCCAGTGACTCAGAAGTCATTGGTATGCCCCCACCCCACCCCACTCCACCCCCACCCCTGCTCCTGTGGCTCCAGACACCAGTGAGGCCGGCAGACCTACTGTGAGGCTGGGAATGCTGTGCGACAGTGCAACAGGGACAGCAGAAGCAGAGCTCACCCCCTGTGAAGAGCCCACTGCCATCGAGGACACCGGAGCAAAGGGTCAGGGACAGCACAGACCTCCAAGGCTACCACGGTCCATCCCAGCCTCCCAGAGGATGTCGCTTTCCACCAGTGCCATGGGCAGCTAATTCTCGGCTCAAGAAATTTTCTACTCCTTCACCATCCGCCCCCACAGGCTGCTCTGTTCCCACTGGAGGACAGCCCTACTGTATGCACATCTGGAAACTTGACCATCAGTACTAGTCCCTCCCTCGTGTATACCTCCTCCACCAGGTAATGGTTCCCAGTGGTGGGGTCGACTCTGAGCCCTAGGGTCTCTTTATCTGTGCCTCTCCTTTCTCACTTAGACCTCATTCCATCACGTCACACATGGCTCCAGCTCATCCTCCAGAGAGGGATCCCTTGGGAGATGCGCAGTTCCTCTCCTGGACTCTCAGTGTGCAGTAGATAGATACTTACTAAATCTTTCTTGACCAGAATGAATTCGAGTCCTCATAATTGTGGGAGTTTGTAAGCTTGAAAAGTTACAGACCTTCCCTACAGACCCAGAGGGAAGGAATGTTGACAAGGTACCCTGTCTGCTTTGATGCCCGCAGAGCCTGGGAGGTGTGGCACAATAGCAAAGGCCAAGGTAGGGCACACTGGAAAGGCCATAGAGACCAGATCCAGCAGAGCCTTGAGTGCCATGCAAAAGAACATAGTTGGAGGGGAACTGCTGTCCTTACGTTTCTTCCACATTTGTCTTTTCAGCGGAGAGTGCTCCGAAAGCACTTGAGGAAGACAAATTGTGAGTCAGAGCAGCCCTTGGCTCTCGACAAACCTTGCACCAGCCTCTCATGAGATCACATTTCCCTGCTTTGGGCCAAACTCATTAAAGCAGTTGGCATCAAGTGAAAGATTATCAGGGCCAAAGGACTGGGGAGGGAGGGACACCTTGGATGGTATATGGGGTCACGCTGGGGCTTTGTGCCACTCCACTCCTGACATGAGGTCTCCTCCTGGAGCATGAGGCAGAGATGGATGGGGGGGGGGTGTATAAGGAGTAGGATGAGTACTGGGGTACCACCCTGCCCACGCCCTCTCTTGCTATGGCTACAGGCTGGCTAGCTTCCAGCAATGAGATGCCCCTTTGCTGAGATCTCTGTCTGAATCATGTCCCTGACGGCTCCCACTTCACAGGCTGTGAATCCTATCTCCAGGATGTCTTAGCAGCCCCTCAGCCTGCCTCCTGGAACAGGAGCCTCTTTCCGAGTGCAAAGGAGGCAGGTGGCTCTCTACTGAAGTATGAGGGTGTAGAAAATGTGACAAGACATCTGGACCACTCTGGTGACCTCAACGCGGCTTCTCCTTCCCCACCCCAGCTGGATCTGCCTAGGACTTACACATGGAACAGAGCCCTCCCTGAGGTCTTGAGGCAGGAGACTGAAACTTTGCATTCTGAAATTATTAGAGTTATTATTATTATTATTATTATTATTAGAGTTATTATTATTATTACTTCCTTTAAAACAGTGTATCGCCTCTCCCAAGACAGCTTCCTGTCCCCTGTCCCCAAGCTGTGTTAGATACCCCTTCTCTGTGCAACATCACCATGGCTTCCCTCTATCAAAGCAGCTGAGATGGTCAAAGGGAAGAGCCAGGTATACACACACACACACACACACACACACACACACACACACACACACACACCCTTGTTCTAAAGCAGGCCTCATTCACCTGGATACCCTAAGCCTGGAAACAGCAGGAAGTCAGTAAAGCTCAGGTAAGGAGGTATGTGATCCAGGGAGGGAAGCCAGGCTATAAAGAAGGAAATGGTGTCAGCCAAAGCTTAGCTGGAGAAGGAAATCCAGAGTGCTGATTGGGAGTGGGTGGTCTTCAAATTTGTCTCTGCATCAGACATGGAAACTCATGACAAACCTGGAGACCAGCCATCTCAGCCTTTGGTTCAGCAGGTCTGCACTGAGGACCATGGACTGGCATTTCAGCAGGTGCCAGGATATGCTCTTCTGGCTCTGAAGCCTGGTTCAGGGTGGAGGATGCTATTTACAGGCACTCAGAAACTGCATCCACTCCTTACTTGGACCCACAGGGAGATGAAAATGGTGTGAAAGCCTGGCATCTCTCTGCCCCCCTTTTGTGCTTCCTCTGCTTTGGGGCAGCTGCATGCCTTTGCATATAGAGAAATTAATCACCCAGGAGATGCCAGGTAGAACCAGGGCTACCTAGCCTACCTCACCCCACCCGGATTGAAGGCACAGAGATATGAGAAACTGAGGCATCTTACTGTCATCTTTTTCACAATGTCCGGTTCAGATCCCAAAAGGTGACTGACGCAGTCAGTGACTGACTTCCAGGAACAGCAGAGCCTAGCAGGACAGACAAGCCCAAATGAGGCCAGTTATCCATGAGAGTGAGCGGCACCTTGAGGAAGACAGCTTCTGCTAAGAGCCAGCTTGCCTCTTCACCTAACAAGGATTTGTTTGGACCATTCACCAAGACCAGAGCTGAGACAATGATGGGCAGGACCATGCTTTGACTGAAAGTGCATAATTATGCACATCCCTTTGTCCCCTTGTGCCTCTTAGTTTAAACCTAAAGCTCATGACAGTCCCCCAGAGATGGGACTTGGAGGTCACTGGACCCCCTTATCTGTTCTATTCAGCATGACCACATTGATTACCTCTCCGCTTTTCCTTACCTGGATCTCTTAAATTGGTATAGTGGGACCAATGGCAGAACCTAGCCTGTTGTGGCTGCCAGAACAATCTAAAACTCCATTTGCAGTGGTAAAGCCAAGAGTCCGGAAGAGGAGAAAGAGACAGCTGAGGCAGTGTCGTGCAGGGTGTTACACGCTGAGGCCAAGGAGTCAGCCATGATACTAAAGGACAGACAGACAGAGATGACGGAGAGCAGCAAAACTTGACCCAAAGTCTGGGAGGCAGAGGCGACCACAGCAGTGAGTTTGAGCCCCCTCCCCACTAAGCGACCTCAGCCAGCTCCCCCCAGGGAGCCACAATCCCCAACCCCCCACCCCAAATCCTGCCCTCTTCGAGAGGCAGGTGTGCCTGCAGGGAGACCAGCCCTGAGAGGGCTTTGCGGCGGCGGGTAGGCCCTCAGCAGATGTGAGAGCGATTATTATAATCTCTCCGCCCCCAGATGGCATGGTCCGGGTTGCCCCCTCCTCCGCCTGCCAGGCCCCTCTCCGCGGTCCCCGGGGACAGGATGCTAAGGGCCCCAGCCTGCGAGCTGCCTGCCTCCTCTCCTCGGGGGGCCCCTGGCCCAGCCTCAGCGTGGGCCTGGCCTCCAGCTTGAGCAGCCTTTCTTCAGGTGCAAGGACCCAAGTGGCTGTCAGCGGGCGGCTCCTCGGCAGGGCACCTCAGGCGGGCGGAGGCGGTGGCGGGGGTGGCTCAGCACAGCTAGTGAACAAAGGCCGGCTGGGAGCTGGCAGGGCGCCATCAGGGTTCAATGCACAATGGCCCGAGGGGCTGGCGGCTTCGCTCCTGGCCGGCATTTGCATAGCGTCTAGGGCAAGAACAGGTGCCCGGTCAATAGGCGATTGTGAAGCTGCTGTGTCAAAAAAGAAGAGGCCTGTATTGAAGGCCAGGCTGGCCTATTGCAATGCAAATAGCATTCAAAGCAGACCAGCCCAGGCTGGGCTCCCCGGAGCCCCTGCCTCATGAAAGCCACCGAGCCAGCCCGGCGGCGGCTGCTGCTGCTGGTGCCCGCTTTGTCTGAGGCCAAAGGGTGGCACTGGCAATGGGGGCGGGGAGCCCACAGCAGGGGTTGAGCTCCAGGCCTACCCATCTAGGAAGGCTTCCTGGAAGAGGAGCAGCTGAGCTAGGATGTCGCTGAACTTCAGCCAGATACTGGAAGGAGGCTGGCTACGTGACTTCTCTGAAGAGGGCCCAGAGTGAAGCAGTAAGTACCACGGTGCAATCTTCGAGGACAGTTGTCACGTGCCTCCTCTCTTCTGGCTGCATGGCCCTCTGGCCTGAGATGCAGGATCCTTCCTGTTACATCTGATTTCGCTGTACCCTCATCTTACCAGACGCTATTCTGGGTGTATCCATGTAGTTGCTTCTTCCACACCTGAAGCAACCCTGTGAGACAAAGCACATGTCAGTCTCATTTAACTGATGTGGAAACTGAGGTACAGAGGGGTTGTACCACTACTAGGTGGCAATACTGGGAAAGACCCCTGACAGGCTGGCTCTAGAAGCTTCCCCGACTCAATGCTTTGCCAGTGCTCTGCCACCAAGTCACACTCTCATCTCATGATGGAACTGAAGTCCAATGAGCCACAGACGCTTTGTAGCAAGACCAGAATCCCGTGAACTGGTTGCCTGCCTGACTCATACCTCTTCCACTGATGATAAGCCTGCTGGAGAGAGCTCCCATCTGACCCAGGGATGGATGCTGGGGTGGTGACAGGCTTGACAGAATGGAGTATTTTTCTCCCAACATGTAGTCTTTATAGAAATGCTCCAAATTGCAGGGGCTGCTGGTGGGTTGTGTGGGCTGCTCAAGAAAGCAGAAACCTCAGAGTATGGATCCAGGGCCTGGCTTTAGCGTCAACAGATCGCAATGGCCTGGGACTGCTGACTCCTGACTTCGTACTCTCAAGTTTGCCCATCTGTAAAATGGAAGCCTGGGCTAATTCCAGGGCTGCCAGAAAGCCATGATAACTGCACAGAGCAAGCAGCCTCCCTTGTCTCCATGCTGTTCAGAAATCAGAGCCTCAGAACTACCCAGCTCCACCCAGTTTCCACATGCCTGTGGATGTGCTACATGAAGTCACTCTCACATTCCAGGGAACTTCTGTTAGGTTTTTAATCTGGAACTCCCTGCCTGTGGCACTAGGTCGGGTTCGGGGACTCTCCATGCTCCTCTGCACCCTCTGGCCTTGGCATCTCTGCAGCAGGAGCTGGGGAACCTTAGGTCTCACACACAGGTTCTCCCCACACATATGATCAGCAGGGCCTGTCTAGAGGCTCCGAAGCAGCCTGCAGGAATGGCAGGAAGAACTGCTACCATTCCAGAGATGTCGTTGGGCGGAATTGAAGCAGTGTACCTGTCAGCTGAATTCACTGGCTATGAGGGGATGGAGGGAACCAAAGGTGCCCAAGAAAAATGGAGTCCTTAAAATCTCTGGGTGACAATATCAAAGTCAGAGCTATCAGCCACGTCGCTATTTCAGTGGGGGAGGGGTACATGTGCACATATACACGTGGAAGCCAGAGGACAACCTCAGGTGGATTGTCCTTTGGGCACCATCCACCTTTCCATTGAGACGGGTCTCTCACTGGTCTTAAGCTCACTAACGGTAGGCTGGCTGGCCAAGAAGCCAGTACCAGGGATCCACCTGTCTTTTCTTCCTCCACGCCCTCACCCTCCATGCCATCATACCTGAAATTTTCACATGGGTTCTAGGGTTCAGACATTGTTCCTCACGCACACGAGGCCATTGCTTTCCGAGTGAGCCATCACCCAGACCTTTTCCCTTTCCATGGAAATCTTTTGGGGAGGGTGTCACACTACACCTGTGTTGCTTTTAGAAGCAAAGAAATAGTTACGATTGTAGAGCTTAATAGAAGAACAATTGTGCCGTGTGGATAAGGGCCTGGGTTCAATCGCCAACACTGCAAAATTAATTCATTGAAATTAGAAAAAGCAATAAGGTGTTTTCAAAGTGGGAACGTAAGAGTCAGCCTTGCTGTTTCCCCGGGAAAGGAGGCACAGGGTTCGGGGGCGCGGGGGGGGGGGGGGGGTAGAGTTTAGCGTTGAAGGCAGTGTTAATCGAGGGTGGTTGCTCTTGTCCGTGTCAGGGCACACATGTGCTTGATACCCTACAGTTTCACTTCCACTCAGCCAGTTAATCCTCCCCAAAGGCTGTGGGCATAGAAACCATACACATTATGTGCTCTCATTTGCATGTGAAAGAAAAGTAAGACTCAGAAAGTTCACATGTGATTTACCCAAAGTTATGAAGTCAGGAGGGGGCCTAGAGGAACCCTCAAGACCTTCCTGCCCTAGATAGGGAAAGCCTGGAGGACATTTGGGGGTGTAGCCAACCTGGGAGTGAGTCCTGCTGTATCTAGACCCAGCCAGCGTCGTCCACAGAATTCCATGCAATAGACTACTGGGCCTTCTCCAGAAGGAGACAGGGTGGCCTCGGGTTCCCAGGCCCAACTCCCTTGGCTGACTTCAGCAGCTCCCTGTAACACAATGCATCCTTCTTCTCCTGGCACACCCGCCCCAGCTCTTAATTAGGCTAGCCAATGGTTGTCCTTCACAGCAAAGGCCCGGGCTTCTGAGCTGCCCATTGTTCCACCCTGGCTACCAGAATCCAGCCTCCTGTAGGCACCCATGATGCTCCAGGGCCCGGCATCTAAAGGCCCAACACTTGATCACAAAGGGCACAAATCCCTGTATCATCACAGAGGCAGCTATTATTAAGTGTTTCTTTTTATTAATGCGTATAAAAGAAATCACAAAGCATTCGTGGGTTTGTTTCATAGGAACCAAAAGTGTTCGCACTTAAAATAACAGAGAATAAGCCATGATGGAAAGATCTGGAGCCCAAGATATGGGTGGATCCCAATGGACAGCCAATTCCACTTCTGACAAACCAGGTAGCCTTAGATGATTATTGCCTGCTGGGTTCTCCATTGTCACAGTTTTAGAATGGCTGTCATAGGAGAGGTAGGTATGTGCAGAAATTCTGGGGAAAATGTAAACCAAATGACCAGGAAATTTAAAAAGCTGTGTGTAATTGGAGCCAAATGTGTCTCCCCTGACCCCATCCTGAGGAAGCTTCCTAACCCTTCCTGTTGCTGCCCATGAGAAGTCAGCCTCTGGCTTACGATGTCCTCAGAGAGAAAAGCCAGTCCCCAAGACTTCTGCAGCCTTTCTCCCTGTGACAGAGATGGTGTTTGGGTAGCCATAACACTAGCCCCCTGAAAGACGGGGAGGGAGTGGTCAGAAGTTCTCAACGTTGATATAAGTTACTGAGACCTCCCCACTGCATCTTCTGGCCAGAACAGGCTGTGTACCTACAGTAGAAAGACACAGCACTTAGCCATCAGAACCAGGATCCCCTCCCTATGAACACTGTGGGGCACATAGAGCCTATACCAGAGAATCCAGGAGTCACAGTGCTGACTTCAGAATTCAGGCTTGGGCCAGAGAGACGACTCACTGGGTCAAGGTGCTTGACACTGAGCCTGACAATCTGAGTTCAACCCACAGGATCCACATTGTGAAAGGAAAGAACTGACTCCCACAGTGTTTCTGACCTTCACATTCACAACACACACACACACACACACACACACACACACACACACACACACACACACATTTAAAAGTAAAAAAGAACTCAGCCTTGAAGACACATAGACCTGAACTCGAATCTCGACGTTTGACTTTAAGAGGTTTCTCTCTTTCTGAAGCCTCAGTTTCTCCATAGATTACAAAGTTCCAATTAGCTATTAAAATTACTGACAATGAAGTAACAAATGGCAGCAAAGGCTGGGCAGAGGATCCGGTACCTTTGCCCCCCACCACCACTCTGATTAGTCTACGGGAGGCTCCTCCTAAAACAGAGCCTGTCTGTGCCCTGTCTATGCTTAAAACCCCAGATGGTCTCCCACTGTCGTAAAATCCAAAGTCTTTCAGATAGATGAATCCATGCCCTGTGTTTCTCACCAGTCATCTTCTTCCCCCAAACGCTCCAAACTATGTTCCAACTGGCTTCCTGTCCTAGGTCCCCAGAGCCTGTCCCCAACTCCAAACATGGGTCCCTTGCCTCTATTCCTCCTGTGCAGATCCTTGCTCTGTTCCTCAGTTCCCAGCTCTTGACCTCCCATCTTGAATGTTCTTTTATAATGGGAATGATACAATTTTTTGAATAGGTAGTGTGCTCAGACAATTCAAACTCCAGA